AAATGATTTCAGTAGCGATGTCTTCTTCCACAATAAGTGCATTTAATAAACAATCAATTCTGGTTTATGCACACAATAGGATACTATCTGGAAAAATAAAACAAATGAACAAACCTGCCATTAACATGGAAAGACATGAACAAACCTCAGAGACAAAATATTGAATGAAGGAATATCTATTGTATGGTTCTACTTATATAAAGTTCAAAGGCAGGCAAAATGAATCTGTGGTTATAGGAATGAGAAGATTACCTTTGGGGGTAACAACAGGGAGGAAGCCTAGGAAGGCTTTCAGACACAGGCTGTGTTGTGTTCTACATCCTGATCTTTCTGGGAATAAGCTTAAAAATTATATAATTACTGTATAAGTTCTGTAGGTTGTTGTTGTACTGGTAAGTGCCATCGAATTGGTTCCGACTCATAACGCCTCTGTATAGGGTTTCCGAGGAGTGGCAGGTGGGTTTGAACTGTTGGCCTGGGGTTCAAACTGACCTTGGAGTCCAGCACATTAACCTGCAGTACCACACCTGGACTCCACTGTGTAGAGTAATGCCAATTAAAATATTATATATATATAATATTTTATATATATAGGAGCATATATATATAGTGATGGTGTGCTGTGGAGTTAGTTCTGACTCATAGCGACCCTGCTTTATAGGAGCAGAAAGCCACCTCCTCTTTCTCCTGTGGAACAACTGGTAGTCTCAAACTGTTGACCTTAAGGTTAGCAGCCAGACTTGTAACCACTATGCTACCAGAGCTCTGTATATATGTATGGAGTCCTGGTGTGGTGCCGTGGGCTAATGTGTGCTGGACTGGAAAGTCAGTTTGAACCACAAGGTCAGCAGTTGAAGCTCACCAGTACTTCTTGGAAACCCTATACAGGTTCACTATGGGTTGGAACCATAGTGATGATACTTAACAACAACATAACTATATATATAGTTAGTGCCATCGAGTCAGTTCCAACTCAGCAATGCTGTATAAGGAGCTCTGGTAGCATAGTGGTTACGAATCGGGCTGCTAATCTCATGGTCAGCAGTTCGAAACCACCAGCTGTTCCGCGGGAGAAAGATAAGGCTTTCTGCTCCTGTAAAGATTTACAGCCTCGGAAACCCTGTACAGGGTTGCTATGAGTCAGCACTGACTCCACGGCACATAACAGCAACAATAGGGTTTCCAAGGAGCAGCTGGTGGGTTTAACTGCCAATCTTGTGGATCGTCCTGCTAAACCTACAGCACCACAGCAGGACTCCTAATATATATGTAAGCACAGCTTAGATAACAGATAGGACAGCCTTCCCTTCCCACATGCCAGTCTTATTTCACTTCATGGCCTATTTCTCATTCTGTTTCTGCTACACTGGCTTTCTTTCAGTTCCTCAGAAAGACTATGAGCAGCCTAAAGACCTTTCCACATGATGTTTCCTCTTTTTAAAATTCTAATCAGCATACCCTACCCCAGCCAGAGCTCCTCCCCTATGTCCTTCAGTTCTTCTTGTTGCTCGTGTTAAGTAGCATGTTAATCAGGCAGAACTTTACTAATAGTGACTATCACATGATCCCAGTTTCAAAAATATGTCATTTTATAGAATCATTTCTGATACTTCAAAAGATACTTTTTGAATTTGATTGGATTTGTAGTAAACAAACCTAGAATAGTAATTCCACAATTGTCTCTTTGCCTGTAATGCTGTAAATTCATATTCTCTCTCTCTCTCTCTCCCTCTCTCTCTCTCTCTCTCTCTCTCTCTCTCTCTCT